CCACCTTCTAAGAAGATCATTAAATTTCAAGATGTTTGGGCATCATATCTGCCCTCTTTATCTATGGTAAGGAAGGAGTGGAACAAATATTATGTGGGTAATTATTCCCAAATATTGTATTCTAAGTTTAAAAGAGCATTAAAATCTCTTTCTTCTGGAGTAAGACAAAGCTGAAATTTTTGAATCTTCTGAAAGAAAGCTTAATGGAAGACATTTTGAATTTGCAAAAAAAGGAATCTGATATGGGATGGCTAACGGATGAGGAGTGTTGGATAGTGAAAGCCAAGGTGATTAAGCTCAAGTCTACCATGGCTCGATTGAATAAATGGTGGAAACAAAGAGCAAAGGTCAAATGGATAATTGATGGTGATAGCAATTTAAAGTTATTTCACTCATTTGCTAGTGCAAGAAGGAGCTCGAATAATATTGTTAAAATAAAGGATGATAATGATAATGTGTTAGAGGAGCTGGATCAAATTGAAGAAGTCCTTCGATTTTTCAACCAAAAATGGAGACAAAGGAACTATACAACGGAAGGGTGGCCTTTGCCGGGGAACACTTTGAATGATTATGATAGAAGATGACTAACAAGGGAGTTCTCGGTGGAGTAGATTGAGGTAGTTCTTAATCAATTGGGGGTGACATTGCCACTGATTGTGATGGCATTACTTATTCATTCATCAAAGCATATTGGAACATTATCAAGGTTGATTTTGTAAATGCTATTAATCAATTTCTTTTATTGGTGAGATGGATAAATATTGGAAGAACACTTTAATTGTTCTCATTCCAAAAGTCTCAAATCTTTTGCTTCCTTCAAATTGTAGACCAATTAGCTTGTGCAATTCAATATACAAGGTGGCAGCAAAATTGATTTTGAACTGATTAATTTCAGTTATCCCTCAACTCATCTCGGAAGAACAGGTGGCTTTTATCAAAGGCAGATCTATCTCATATCATGTGTTAGTGGCTCAAGAGTTGTTCCACAAATTCAGGTATTCTAAATCAACCAAAGGACTTGTTTCTTTTAAAATCGATATGGAGCAAGCATATGACTCAATGAGTTGGGTTACTCTTAAAGGTGTTTTAGATTATTTTGGATTCCCTGCTATGTTCTCAAAGCTTATATTGGAATGTGTGGTAGAACCAAGATTTTCTTTGATCATTAATGGTAAATTATCTGGATGGATAAAAGCTAAGAGTGGCTTCCGTCAAGGATGTCCCTTGTCACCTCTTCTATTCATACTTTGCTCTCAACTCCTGTCTAATGCTTTTGCTCAAACTTCTATTGGGATTAGCATTTGCCCGAATGGTCCACGGGTATCACATCCATTATATGCAGATGACGTTATGATTTTCTCTGAAGCTAATAAAAAGGTGGCAATTGAGATCAAGGGCATTCTCTCCAATTTCAGCAAATGGATTGGGCAATGTATCAACATTAACAAATCTTCCATTCTTTTTGGTAAGATTGTTAATAGAAGGAAAAGGAAAACTATTACTCGCATTATGGGGTTCAAAGAAGTAAAAGAGTTTTCTTATCTTAGTATAAAGATAGCCTTAAGGAGATTGGTGGCCACTGATTTTTATTTTATCATTGATAAAGCTTTAAGGATGCTCAATATATGGGCAAGCAAATTTTTATCATTGGCTGGCAAGTTAACCTTGATTAAATCGATCATTTTATCATATTCGAATTTCTACAGTACACATTCTCTTGTTCCTATCCGTGTTCTTAAAGATATTGACAAATTATGTAGAAGTTTTCTATGGAATAAGTCAAATGGAAGGGTGGGAATTCATTATGTTAGTTGGGGTGAATTATGCAAGCCGTTAAATTGGGGAGGATGTGGTTTGCATTCGGCTAAATCTAAAGTGGCACCTCTTAGAGCTAGATTGACTTGGAGGTTTTTGCAAAATAAAGGTTCACTCCTACATAAAGTGCTGGCTTCTAAATATGGCAATATGGTTGGAATTGAAAACAATAAGAAAAGTTCCTCTTCATCATGGAAATTAATCTGTGATGGGGGAAAAGTTCTTATTCCATTTTTAAAATAGAGCATTGCAAATGGATCATCTATTGATGTCTAAAGAGACAAGTGGATTTTGGATAGAAGCATCAATGAATGGCCAACTTTTGTAGTGCCTCAATGTGATGAGGTTTTAATGTTGGACAGATTTATTGAAAATAGAGAATGGAATGTTGTTGAATTGATGAAGATGTCTGGGAAGGAATTGGTGGAACTTATACTACAGATTAATATTTAATTAAATCAACGGGATGACGAGCAGGAGCTAATTTTCTAGAATTCATGAAGGACTATTTCTGGAATGATTTTTATATCAATGCAACAACCTCGAGGTGATTCCAAATTTTGGGAATGTATAAAAAAAGCAAAAGTTATTCCTTGGGTAGAGGTTTTTTGCTGGAGACTATTTAAAAATGCTATCCCAACATATCAATTCTTAGCTCATAGAAGATTGCAAGTTAATGAAATATGTCCAAGATGCTCATTTGGCATTGAGGATGTGGATTATATAATTGTCAAATGTACCAAATTAAAAGATGTGATTTCATCGTTAAACAAGCGGGGATTTGAAGTTCCTGTGTTCAAAAGTTTTGAAGATTGCTGCTCATGGATGGAGTCAAGTGCAAAACATAATGGTATGCTTCTAAACTTATTTTGCAATGTTATGTATCTTTCATGGAAGGCTAGGAAACAATTGTTACATGATGGAATGGTAGAAAGTGCAAATTCAGTTGCTGCAAATGTTGTCAGCCTTTCATCATTTTCCAAATTGGTTTTTAACTCAACTTCGGAAAGATGGGATGTTAATCAATCTTTTAGGCTGTCTAATATTTGGCATCCCCCTCCACCCGATTGGTTAAAGATCAATGTAGATGCTTCACTTGGTTCTTCGTACAGAGCTTATTGGAGGTGTGATCCGAGACTGCAAAGGAAGGTTCTTGTTGGCTTTCGGCAAATCTTGCATTCACTGGGATATTTCTCAGAGCTTTTAGCCATCAAGTCTTTGAAATGAGTCATCAAAGATTGGATGTTCAAATATAAGGGAGCAATCATTGAAGGTGATAATTCAAATGTAATAAGGATTCTTCATCATGCTATGCTTGGCGGCTTCAAGGAGATGGAAGACTTTGAGTTCTTTAATGATTTTAATTATGTGATCTTCAAATGTATAGATAGAGGTAGTAATAAATTAGCTGATATATGTGCTAATCTTGCTCTTGTTAGTAATTTTATTTGGGAGGATTTGCGTTTAAATAAGATTCCTACTTCTTTTGTTAGGTTGTTGAAGGAGGAATCAAAATTGTAGTTTGCTTCTTTTTATTCTAATAATGCATTTATCGCTCTTTTCAAAAAAATTGTACAATACAATTAATTAATCTTGCATTAATTATCACAATTAGCAATTTTAATATTTTTTTGATTAGCTAATCGTATAGTATGATATTGATCGTACATAATGATTAATTATGAAAATTCAACTTCTGATATTATCACTAACTCAATCATTTGAGTGTGTGTGCATGGTCATCAAGCTTAGTATCCATCAGATACATGATTTGTCTCAAGAAAAGTAAAAGTACATAATAATTAAAAATACAGACATTTCACGACATATTTAACCCTAGTCTACACAATCTTGAGCTGATCAAACTTGCACGTGTACGATGGACCTGAAATATTAGTGTATAGGAAAAAGCAAATATGCAATAAAAGCAGTTACCAGGAGATTACATAGTAAAGAATAAAGTAATGTTTATTATCATCAAAATCATCAGAATTTTGATTCCATATTTGCAAAATTTTTCACACTTCATTTTCTTTAAATCATCTCTAACTTTAGTTTTACTAATACGCCGATAAAAACAAAAAAAAAAAAATTTCATTTAATGTGCTAAGGTTACTAAAGTCAATCGTATTCTCATAATCTTCAGTAAAAAGTTTAACAAAATATCTGATCCACCATTGTTGAAGATCATCATCTAATAAAAGTACTTTTTGTCTTTTTGATCTTCATCCTCAATACATTTCACATGAATTAAATCCTTACTACTCCTATCTCTTTGTTTGAGTAACTCATACATATATGTTTCAACTAAACAACAAAAAAATGTATTCTCAGAAAGCCTTAGCATTAACACAATATAATAAATGATTTATGTAATGATTGTTTAATAAATTTTACCTTGGTTGTCGACTACCTAATGCAACTCTCCACTTTTTCTATTTTGAAATAAAAAGAAAGAGTAAAAATATGAGATTTTATGATTAAATTGTATTCCCTTATTCAAATTAAAAAAAATATGAAGTTGTACATAATTAGGTGGAGAAACAACTACCTCAAAAAAAACAAATATAAAACCAATTCTAAATTTTGTCATCTAAATCCAACTAAACAACAAAAAAGGAATGTTATTGTTCACAAATTTTTGGATTGTTGTAAATAGAATGTTGTAGTCCATGAATAGTTAGATTGTTATGAAGAGAAAGTTGTTATCCACATATTGTTGGGTTAATGTAAATGGACAGATTTTGTCTATAAATTATTAGATATTTGTAGATAGAAAATTAATGACCGTAAAATTAAGAAACAAATTGAATGTATGCTACATTTTTGTCACGATAATACAATCACATGACATTAATAGAAAGAAAATAACTTATCATGGAAAAAAAAGAAAATCAGAGAACGACTCCAAAACCACTATAGTTAGAGAAATATAGGGAAAAATATGACCTGAAAAAATATAATAAAGGAAATATATGCAAAGTGGCCATGGATTACATTTCAATCATTATTGCTAGACAAGAAATTTATAGTAGAAAAGGAACAAACTAGAAGAATAGATCTAAACAGGAGCAATCAGTTAGGCAAAACAAAACATAAATTGAATGCATTAAGGGATCTTTTACTTGGAATAAAAAATATTAAAATGGTTGGCTGTCTGATCTCACAAAGATGATTGTGATTACCTTCCTATAGAGAGGTCTTCTTTTCTTCTCAGTTAGAGCATTTCTCTCCTCCACTAGCTCCCTAATTTCCTCTTCCAAAACTCTACCCTTCTTACCAAAGGCATGGTCAAGCTGTGCTAACTTCTCTTCAAGTTTCTTTTCAATGATGTTAAGTTTCTCTGTATAAGCATCATCTTGCTCCTTTGATTCACTAAAATCTTTTTCATCTTCATCCAGACCAGAACCTTGGATCATTTGCCTCTCTTTCTCAAAGCCAGCACTATCTACAAGATCATCAGGTGAACCAACTTGCTGGTGTTTTATGAGTCCAAAGTTTGCAGGATTGTTCGGGTCATAGGCTTCCTTGATTTCCATCAACTTCACAGCCCGATTTAGCTTTTGAAGCAGAATGAATCTTTCCTTTCCCATGGATTCCTTCAAACGGTTCATCATATCTCCTATAACCCTATATTCCAATGGCAATTTCAAATGTCTCTCCTCAAATTTGTCAATTTTAGTCATCCACTTATGTGCATCATCAAGCGTTTCTGTAGCAGGTAATAAAGAGATAATTTTCATAATGAAAGCAAACAGCTCATAACATAAAATGCTCTTTTACAAGTTGGAGAGGACTAAGAACATGTAATAGTACGATAAAATAAATTTCAGTGTCTCTAATAATTTCAAAATGCCCTAATCTTGAATTGCAAATGCAGTGAATTGTCAGTACAGTTATATTTCAAAAGAGATTGGAGAGAAATGGAAACAAAGCATAACGATTGCTATTTTGAGGAAACATGAACTGATCGTAATGCTGGCTTCGTTTGGAATGACTTTCTTTTTACTTCTTAAAGCAGCTTTCTAGTATAAAAATTTCACCCCCAACCATGCTTTTTATTAAAGCAATACAGGCAGTACTTAAATCTAAAATAACCAATAATTCAAGCTATCAACTTTAAACCGGAAATGCTAATAATGAAAATAAGAATTCCAAATGTATCTTACTGAAAATGAGGAGGTATAACAAAGAAGAAAAAAAAATTTAAAAGAAAGGTACAAAGAATTAAGCTCCAAAGAAAACGGATATTGCACAAGCATTCATTCTAAGATGTTTAAGGCTGTGAAGTCTTGAATATATCAGGAATTAAAAGATCCAATAACCATGATTCCACACTATCAAAGCAATAATAAATACCAGCTTATGTAAAATGAAGCTTTACCAGCTTCAGCGAAGTTCTTGAGCAACTCAGCGTGCCGCTTGCACTTTTTTTCGAAAATATCTACGTTCCTCTGTAGCTCTTCCGGGGAGTACCGCTCATCGTCCTCGTCGCTGTCGGAATCAGTGGGCTCCCAGAACTGTTCGATGTTTTCGAGTTCTTTGGTCTTCCTTCTCTCGAGCTTTTCTATGAGAGGCCCGACCCCCATGTAATCCTCATTTTCATCATCCAAGGGCTCCAATCCCTTCTTTCTCCGCTCCTCCCTCTCGAGCTGCTTCTCTCTCTCCACCTCAGCAAGAAGCTCTTGGACGATTCGATCTCCCATGATGGGATTAGCAGAAAAAGTGCGAGAGAGGAACGGGAAATCGAGATTGGGAAGCGAGAAGAGTTTGACGGAGTGGATAATTCGTGGTTTGGGGCCGAGAGAGGTGAAGAGATTTCTCGTAGGGTAGCGGGAAAGAGAGAGGAGATAAGCCCACCGAGCCTTTGATGGGAAAAATACAGCCGCCATTGGCGGCAGCAAAGCCGAATGCTGATGAAAGAAAGGACAGGGAGGCAAGTAAAGAAAGAAGGAGATTTCAGTTATGAGATTATCCCAACAAGTACGCCGTTCCTCTCTCGGACGCTGTTTCGGGCCAAGGATGCCGGTCGGCGGTTGGCGGTCACCATAGTAAGGAGTTTATGATTGGGTTTTGTATTTATATCTTTTTTCAATATTAACCTAATTTGGGGTGTCAATTTTTGACACGACTCGAAACACAATCCGAATCTGACCCGGAAAAATCCAGGTTAGGGTCAACCTGGATCCGAAACGGGTCGGGTTCTGGTTCGACAAATCAACCCGTTTTAAAAATCGGGTCGGGTTCGGGTTGACCCAGCAACCCGAAATTGACCCAAAAATGACCCGAAATTGACACGAAAACTCTTATTTGACCCGAAAACCTGAGATTGACCCATTTTTTTCATCCGATTTTAACCCGAAAAATCGGAGATTGACCCGATTTTGACCCGAAAACTAGCAATTTTAGGTCAACTTCGGGTCATTCGTGCCGGGACGGGTTGACCCGGACCCGAATCGGGTCGGGTTGACCTGGACCCGAATCGGGTCGGGTTCGGGTTGACCCAAACAGTGTCGGGTCAATTTCGGGTTCGACCCGAACCAGACCCATTGATCCGAATTGACACCCCTAAACCTAATTAAGATTAATATATTATTATACTAATTAAGGATCAAATATTATATATATATATATCATAATTTGGATTATTATAACTCTTATATTTTATAAGACCAAATATACTTAATTTTATTTTAGAAACAAAATATCATTATATTAAAATGTTACGTCCTATTCTTGTTAATCTTCAAACTATCTTCATGCGCAATTCTTTTACTTGAAACTTCCTAGAGCCACCGATGCCATTGAGACTTTCTAGAGCTCGGTGGCTTAAATCTCATGTTTTTCCTTCCAACACTAAAAAAATGAGTTTTAATATTTCTATTTATGTTAGATCCATTTATCATCCCTTACAACACAAAAAGTCTAACATTGCTACCATTTATTGTAAAAGAAAAAAAGAATAAGAGCGTTGAACTCCTAGTTAGAACCCTAGGTTCAAAAATAAACTTTAAACTAGTTCACAAAAAGGTTATATTGTGGTTTGAAGAAAAGTTTGAACTTGATTTGAACGCACACAAAACTTGGTTTGAATTTTATTTGAATCTAGTTGAAATCATAGTTTAGGTTCAAAACTAATATCATATTGTATGTGATAACCAAGTTCAAAATTATGTTAAAAAAGAAAAAAAAAGATTCAAAATTATGTTTCAACTTAAAGTTCCTCATATTATCACTGAAAAAGGGCTTCGAATTTTTGTTCAAACTAGTTTCATAGCTTGTTTTAACCCTACATTGTAGATTCAAATCAAGTTTAAACCTAATTTGAACTTCTATTTTGAACCTAAGGATTGAAGGAAAGCTTCAAAATAGAGGTTGAAAATTAGGTTCTAATTAGATAATCAAACAAAGTATTATTGTGTGGTTCAAACACATTTATCTTGCATTGACTTGCATTCATAAACTTTAAACTAGTTCACAAAAAGGTTATGTTGTGGTTTGAAGAAAAGTTTGAACTTGATTTGAATGCACACAAAACTTGGTTTGAATTTTATTTGAATCTAGTTGAAATCATAGTTTAGGTTCAAAACTAATATCATATTGTATGTGATAACCAAGTTCAAAATTATGTTTCAACTTAAAGTTCCCAGATTTTCACTGAAAAAGAGCTTCGAATTTTGGTTCAAACTAGTTTCATAGCTTGTTTTAACCCTACATTGTAGATTCAAATCAAGTTTAAACCTAATTTGAACTTCTATTTTGAACCTAAGGATTGAAGGATAGCTTCAAAATAGAGGTTGAAAATTAGGTTCTAATTAGATAATCAAACAAAGTATTATTGTGTGGTTCAAACACATTTATCTTGCATTGACTTGCATTCATTTTATTTAATTTGCTATTAATGCTTATATCCTTATTTATTAGTTCTATGGAGAGGAATTACATTGCCCATATCACATATAAAGTTGTGGTGCTATGGAAAACATTAACAAATAGTTTGAAAGCTATGATCTATTTGAGAGGGCTAAGCAATTTCCCTTTAAGTAATTTTTTCATGGTCACGAACTACGATTTTCTGGGAACTTGATTCATCGGCTCTTTTTAATGAAGGTTTATGATTCATAAAATGTTGATTAGTTCATTTTGTTATGTATTATCGATAAGAATATGAGATCTATAAATTTTAATTAGTTTTGATAACTATGTTAAACATTTGTGATTATCTTACTAATGAGAAACTGAGCATATAGTTGAACACAAAAAGCTAATTAATAATTATCTATATGGTAACAATAACTTCAATAATGCTAATCTTAAAGAATGCTTTTATTAAGTGTATCATATTAGATGATGTATGAAAGATGGGTTCATTTTCATTAATGATGGACTGTTGCTCAATCATAAGAAGAAATGTACTATTTTTATTGTGATGTGATAAATCAATGATGATTTTTTTTAATATCCATAAATGAAATTGTCATGTGAGAAAGAAGTAAATGTGCTCCTTATGATATGGTACACATTGAGAGAATGTCTAGAAGTTAGAGAAGAAGTGGTGTGGACTAGGGTTAGTCCTTTAAGAGGTCCTTGATTTGGCCTTGGAAGACTTATAAAAGATGTTAAGGATAGTATATAATCCCCTAGAAAGGTTTGAGAGTAGTGTTATTAAATTCCAATGCAAAATAAGTAGGTTATGAAAGGAAGAAGGGAATTTAGTAGAATTCTACTACTTCGACTTTAGGCTTTAAGAGTTTCAAATTTTGGGAATTTCAGGCCTTAAAAACTCTTGAAAAATGAAGAGGAGTGTGTCTAAATAAACTCTAAATTGTTTTATAAATTAATTGATGTGGGTTCAAAAAATTCAACCTTGCTTTTATTCGGTGGATTTTTAACGGAATTAAGTTCCGCAGTAAATTTTGGGAAAGCAGATAAATTTGTAGATGAGACACTGCCAGGATATTTTGCCATCATTTTACGAGGACTTTATGATCTAAGTTTTGGTTTCTTATAGGCTCAAGCCCCTATAGTTAATTACCCCTCCCAATAACGAGAGAGAAATTTCGATTAAGGTTAATCATCAATCATATACGTAGAGATACATAGTATCTGGCATATAGTAGCATCATAGGTTTGAAAATTTGAAATTTTGATATTTAAAATATAAATTTCACCATCTTCCACTTAAATCTGATGGTGGGGGGATGGATGATAGACCCGATCAAAATCACCATGGTTCCGTCGTCCCGAGCCATCGTGGTCTCTGATCTACTTAGTCATTGGAGGTAATCGACCCAACCTGACAGAAGGATCCTTGTCAGTAGCCATGGGTTTCTTCGTCCAAGAGTACCTAGTAGACTTGGGATGGGCATTTATTTAAGGGGTAATTTTGACTCCACCTTAGCTAATAGAGGGCTTTATGCCCTATCGATTATATCTTATTGATTTATATCTCAAGGATTTGAAGCCACTAAGGAATGTATTTGCTCTAGTCATAACCATAATTTAATAGTGCCATTTGGTGGCAAAACCACTTGGTTCAGAGGGCCATATGTTATAACTCTTTATCCTGCAGTGTCATTTGACGGCAATACCTCTGGTTAGAGAACACGTATCATGTTCTTACTAGAAGGAGATTATTTGAGAATAGATCCGAGTAATATTCTTAACCAGACATTAGCTTTTTGTGAGCTGAGGTTATTTTCAACTTTGTCTACCTTGGTAAATTATTATGGAGGGTGGAAGGGTTTTGTACTTTAAGTATTTTAATGATTAATTTCAATTTTAAATATCTAGACTTTGGAATAATTTTTAGATTCTTTAGAGCTTTAAATTTCGTAGGTATTTAGGTAGCATTTTGAGTTTTTGAAATTAACCCTTTCGATTGAGATTTTCAATTCAATACATCCATCATTATGGTGTTTGGGGATCATTTTCATTTGTGGATTGAACCTTATCGACTTTATCGAGTTGTCAATAATGGATCAAATTTTGTAAGCTTTATATTTTGTTAATGAATTTCTTTATTAGAGATCTTGAAGGCCTTATATGAATGTATAAAATAGATATTTTGGTTAATACATTCATCATATATCTATTTATTTGTTCAAGCTATGCCGACTCATATCCATCCATATAAAAGGATCGGGCATGAATTGTAGTTCATTTATTAACTTGTGCATTATCCCCAAACATTATGTGTGTACTATAACACACTAGTCGAGGGCCATGCAGGTGTTTGGGGGAATTTTATAATTATTTGTTGAACCTTGTCGACTCATACTTATCTGCTTATGAGGATTAAGTTTAAATTTATTGGCCCACACAACATCCTTAGACGTTACATGTATTCCTACAATATGCTTGCCGAAGACTATGTAGGTATTTGGGATTATACTTTCCCTTTTTGGTGTACATATGTGTATACATATTATAGTATATATGCGGGGGCATTCTTGGAAACAACATTCTATTTCGATGCTTGTACACTCCTTCTGTCTGCTTGTAAGAATATTGCAGCTCCGGTGGTGTGGCATTGTACTATGATGATTTGTCTATTTTGTATAAGTAGACTGTCATGCACTACTTAGTGCTTTCTACAGATGGGTTGTAGTGCACTAATGAATCTCCTGCTATGCATTTATAGATGCTTGTAGATGGATCATTTCGTGTATAATGGACCTTCTACAGTCACTTGTAGGCACATTATAATTTCTTCTAGCAACTATAATTTTTCATTAGTATTTGCACATAGATGTAGTAGGAGCTATGATGTTTTCTTGCGTGAGTGATATGAAGATTGATGTCAATTCCAATTTCTTTACTTGTAAGGTTGAATGTATCTACTTGTATTTTAATGTTTCTTATGGAGCATTATTATAGAAATATGCACTACAATCCTATGTCTTAATCGATAGGTGCATTCATAATGTTCATTGCTTGCAAGTAGGCTATCATACTCATTTACAAGTTACTTAACATCGACCATAGTAGGTTGTATTCATTGCACACCTTCCTATATTCGTAGGAGTTTCGATGTATACTTATAAG